ATTATTTGATTTTCTGAGGAACTGTACTATTACTTCAGGAATTATCTTGGAATTAAAAAAGAAAGGTAGAAAGAAAAATATGTGTTACTATATGAAAAGAGCAAAGAGATCCTACCTGTTTCAATCTCATGAAGAAAGTCTCTGTGAAAGTCTTTCTGCTGAAATACCAAAATCGCTCATTTGCAGGGTACACACGAACTACTGTCTCCAGGAGAAAGCGGACAGGCTCCACCACCTCTGTGACTACCATATCCACTGCCACGGTCATGTACACTCGTTTATCTGTAGTAGAAATTTTCTGGGTTTTATTCTGGCTTTATTAATCTTTGATTATTTAAGAAAACAAAGTTTCCTCACTCATGAAAGAATCAAGATACTTTACAATCATACTACCTTCTATATTTATTTTTTAAACATTTTAATGTGATTAAATAGATAACCAAGTATGTTTCTCAGGCACTAATTATCCTATCTTAATCAAGTGTCCAAATCTCCTGACAATTTTTTTTCATTCCCCAAATCAGATTAGATTCTTAACATAAAAATAAATAAAATAAAATATTAAAATGATACCTTTTATTCTAAAACTATCAGATTTTCCAGAGATCCTCTTTAAAACACAGAGATTTGTCCTTTTATAAAAAAAAAAATACTAGAAATTATTAGGCTTGTTTTAGTGAATTGCATGGGAAGAACTGTCAAATCAGAAAAGAAGCACAGCCTTCTACATGTTAAGCTTGTACAGGTAAAATGTTATTGATATAAATATCTCCGTGCTGTATCCCTTAAGGGAAGTTCCTGGAGATAGGTCAGTACCCTCATAGTTCACTTTTAGACAATAGTATGTTACAGGTCAAAATTCTAGTTATTATTTAAAATGTTTATCTTGGGCTCGGCACCTGTGGCTCAAGTGGCTAAAGTGCCAGCCACATACACCTAGGGTGGCAGGTTCAAATTCAGCCCAGGCCCACCAAAACAACAACAATGACAGCTGCAACCAAAAAATGGCCAGGCGTTGTGGCGGGCACCTGTGGTCCCAGCTGCTTGGGAGGCTAAGGCAGGAGACTCGCTTGAGCCCGGGAGTTGGAGGTTGCTGTGAGCTGTGATGCCACGACACTCTACCCAGGGGGATAGCTTGAGCCTCTGTCTCAAAAATAAAATAAAATAAAATGTTTAACTTGGCCACAGACATCATTTAAACTGAATCTAGACTCTTCTAGGTTAACGTCTATTGACTTTCTTCAGTTTTACTATGATTAACCAAAACATGGATTTCATTTTTGTTTATTTACACTGCTTAATATTCATTGGGTTTCTTACATCTGTGGCCTACTAATTTCATATTATTTTAAAATCTCTTAATTTCTTTTTAAATATTTTTAAAATCTATTTTTTTCATAGCTTTTAGTTCTCAGTTAAAGGAAAGTCCAAATAACCAAACCCATGATTAGAAGGAACCTTCAATAGTGATTCTTAAAAAATATTATAATAGGCCCACACACACCTATAATACTACCACTCTGAGAGGCTGAGGCCAGAGAATTCTTGAGGTCAAGGAGTTCAAGAACAACCTAAACAAGAGTGAGACGCTTTATTTAAAAATAAAAATAAAACAGGCAGACATGGTGGCACACGCCTTTAGTCCCAACCACTCAGGAGGCTGAGGCAAGAGGATTACCTGAGGCCAACGGTTTGAGCTGGCTGTAAACTATGATGCCAAGGCACTCTACCCAGGGTGACAGAGCAAGATTCTATCTCAAAAAGAAAAAGAAAAAAATCAGGGCAACATTTTTGTGTGGCAGATAAATGGACTTTAAATTTAAAGCATAGGCTGTGTGTCATGGCTCAGACCTGTAATCCTAGCATTCCGGAAGGCCAAGGCCAGGAGATTGTTTGAGCTGAGGAATTCAAGACCAGCTTGAGCAAGAGTGAGACCCCATCTCTACTAAAAAAACAGAAACATTAACTAAGAGTTGTGGAGTAGTTGTGGAGGTGCCAGTAGTCCCACCTACTCAGGAGGATGAGGCAAGAGGACTGAGCCCAGGAGTTTCAGGTTACTGTGAGCTATGATCCCATACATAGTACTCTAGCCTGGAGCAACAGAATGACATTTTATCTAAGTAAATAAAAAGATTTAAAGCACATTATATTTTGGATATTATTGTATTATAAAATTATACAAAGTTTATTTTAATCGAACAAATAAATTACAAATGAATTTTCTCTTGGCTTGGTGTATGTAGCTCAGTGGCTAGGGCACCAGCCACATACACTGGAGGTGGCAGACTCGAACCTAGCCAGGGCCTGCCAAACAACAATGACAACTACAATCAAAAAATAGCTGTGCGTTGTGGCAGGTGCCTATAGTCCCAGCTACTTGGGAAGCTGAGGAAAGAGAATCACTTAAGCCCAGGAGTTGGAGGTTGCTGTAAGCTGCACACCTTGGTACTCTACTGAGGGCAATGTGATGAGACTCTGTCTCAAAAAAAAAAAAAAGAATTTTCTCCTAGTAGAAGACTAAAAGTATATGAAAATACTAAATGAAATTTGTTACATTAAAACAGAACATACTTTTATAACTTGATATTTTATAACTTGAAACTCCTATATTTGAGTCTTCAAAGTTATCAATAGGCTTATTTTTCTCATTGTTGTGTTTTCTTTCTGAACCACTATAAGAAAGAAGGTTGTAGGCTGGTATTTATGAGCATGTCCTCCAGAAATAACAAATTGCGAGTATAAAAATTATTTATTAATATTAAATATATGAAAAAATAAATTTTATATAGTCTTTTTTTCTCTCTTTTTAGCATTAACTTTTAGACAACTGAATGTGAGATCAAATGTACACAATACACAAAACTGGTGAATACTCTTTTTAAAGAAATTAGAGAATACTTATCATTTTGATGTTCTTCACTAACATATTAACATATCAATATTCACAAATGCTCCTATATTTAACAAAAAGTCTACTGTGGGTGTAAACTAAATAATATTAGGTCTAAAGATAAAGCAAACTAATCCATTTATTCTAAATATAAATTATTATTTGACCAATAGTAAAGTAAGAATATAACTCATTGGGTAAAACTTTATATTTAGTTTAAAATAAGATGATGGAGAGGAGAGGCAAAACACACAGGCGAACAGAGGCAAAAAAAAATGGTTAAAATAATCATCGTAGGTATGTAAAAACTCCAGAATTTGTTTCCTTAGTATTTGGGGGGATATTCTTTTATGTAGTGGGGTTTTTCCCCATAGAAGTACAAATTACAAAAGAGTACCTCAGATTCTAAATGAAAAGAATATCTTCATTTTAAATGACTACCAAATTTTTTTTTAAAAACATGATAAAACAACATGGTTCATAATATAAAATTTAAAGCAAATAATAAGGGATTTTTTAAGAAAAGTCACCTTTCGGGGTTTCCTCATTAAGTGCCAGAAATATTGGTGCATTGGGGTTCCACATGCCGGTGATAACATAAGCTCTCCCATCATAGCTCTTTCCCATGGATTCCTATAAAATTCAAATAGGAATCACTGATAATATATAGATCAACATTATTGCCACTTTAAATAGTATCTTACATTAAGCAATTCAATTTATTTAATTTAGACTAACAATCAAATAAGGGCTTTATCGTCACTACAAATTTTTTTCATCTTACAAATAGCATTATAAAAGCATTTCTATAATAATTAAATTATCCTACAGCTTTCTTCAAGCACAGTTTCTAGAGACATCAACCTCCTGGATAAAAGGAGGCATGCCCTTACATAATGAATCACAAAAACTTAACATTGCTACTAAGTTATATTTAACTTGATCTTATACTGGTTGTCAAAACTCTCATATAACTATACCTGTAAGGATGTACATTATTTCCACTAGAACTATAATACAGAAATAACTGAAGATAGTTAAACTGAATTAATAGCTAATCATAGGGGAAAGTTAATATTCTTCTCATTTCCAATTTTTAGTGTAGTCTTTAGTGTAGTTTTTAAGCATGATTAAAATATCAATTTAATCTATAGCAATTAACGCCTCCAAATTAATATTTTTACATTATCTATATGGCAGATACTTGTGTACTTTCTTCTAATCATCATATTAAACTAATTTTGGTTTATAAGCAACATCCAAGTATACTAACTCTCTCCCTCTACCCTTATACTATTCCCTTCTCTCTCTCCTTTGTTCTTTAATACTTTGATCAAGCCAGCTCTTGACTCTCACTAAAAAGCTAGCAATTCCTACATCAAAAGCAAGGCCACATATAAGGGGTGTGTGTGTGTGTATAGGGATACAAGGAGTAGAGACTGTCCCATGGAAAAACAGCACACAAACATACAAGTATGTGTACATGCAAAAGAATGGCATCTATCCTATTTCAATTTTCTGTGCCAATTTTCTCATATTACGAATAGAGAGTGCTCAAAGGATTAAACTATAACAAAGGGGAACATTTTTCTTTTTTTTTATTATTACCCCCTCATACATGCCTCTCTGAACCCCTGTAAAACTGTATCATTTGGCAATCACTATCTATATTTTCCTAGTATGTTACTGGTCCTTCACTAATCAGATTATATAGATTGAGTGCAGAGACTCTGCATTTGAGATATGAGGTTCACCTAAGGCTATTTATAAAGGAAATCCACTTAGGAACCCAAAACACTCATGTGTTCTCTCTTTTTCTCTCTCACAGACACACACATGTATACCCCAATTCCCAAGCCCCCCCCCCAACCCATCTATCTCTTAATTAGGCCTCCTTCTGACCCAAAAGAACCAAATTCATGTCCATACTAGAATTTTTGCTATGCTTAAGTCTCAAAAGGTGAGCTAGATCAATCAAAATCTCTCTTTCAATTAACAAATAAATACTAAAGACAGTGGGCACTCAGCAGTGGAAGCTAAAAGGTTTTGATGAGAAATCAGGCCATCAAGAAGAAAAAGTTACAACATAGGAAAAAAATATTTTTAAAAAAAGTAGAATATTTGGAAATTGCTAAATAGAAAGAAATGGAGAAAATAACCATAAAAAGGCCACACAGAAGAAAAGGTTACAAGATAACATATTATGAAGTAGGAAAAAATATATATATGAAAACAGAGTATTTGGAAATTACTAAGTGGTAAGAAATGGAGAAAATACCATTACAAAACTTAAAAATTATAACTTATGCAGATAAAAAACAAAGGGAAATACCATGAGGCAAGAAGGAATGGAGAGAGAAGCAGAAGGAGTGGGGTCAGAGATAAAAGGACAGAGATGGCACAGGGAGGAAGCAAGTACAAGGGAAGATAACAGAGGACATAAGGATTAGGAACTGTTAAATGAACTATTTACTTTCACTGTTTTACACATATGCACATTACAAGAGTACTGGATTGCAACACAAAATGTATTTTTAACTGTGGATCCAGCTATGGCCTAGTGCCAATAAATGGCTAATGGTAAAGATCCACAAACTATCTGAGGCATTTCCGAAGTTTATATTGTGTTGCAGTACCAAGAAACCTGCCTCTGCTGGGTTTTCTGCTTTTCTTGTATCAACAACTGGGGGTCAAAAATTCTGAGCCCCTTATTCCTACATTACAAGTACTTTGACCAAAAATATTCTTACCATGAAAGAAAATGGATTCTTTGTTACTTGTACCCCCCCCCGCAAAAAAACTAATTTTGTTTATATATGATTTTATTTATTTTTTTAGAGACAGAGTATCACTTTATTGCCCGCGGTAGAATGCCATGACATCATAGCTCACAGAACTCTCCAACTCCTGGGCTTAAGTGATTCTTTTGCCCCAGCCTCCCGAGTAGCTGGGACTAAGGTGCCTGCCACAACACCTGGTTATTTTTTTTGTTGCAGTTTAGCCGGGGCTGGGTTTGAACCCGCCACCCTCAATATATGGGGCCAGCGCCCTACCCATGGAGACACAGGTGCTGCCCTATATATGATTTTATTTATGTACATATATACACACACACACACACACACACATATATATATATATATATAAAGTCATGTGTTACTTAATGCCACAGGGATACTTTCTGAGAATGTCTTCTTAGGTAATTTCATCATGGTTTGAATATCAGGTGGGGAACCTACAACCGTAAGGCCACACATGGCCTTCTAAGTCCTTAATTATGGCCTTTTCACTGAATTCAAATTTTACAGAAGAAATTCTTTTATTAAAAGGGGTGCAGTAGAGAAAGATATAGGTTTTCTTGCCTCCTTTGGTGCATAAAAAAGAACAATCTTGAAATCAGAAGGCCACAGGCTCCCCACCCATAGGCTACCACACGACCAGGCATATGGCACAGCCTATTTGTAACTTGTACACAATGTTACTATACTGAATATACTGTAGGTAATTATAACAATATGTTACACATTTATGTATCTAAACACTGGAAAAGCACAGTAAATACGGTATTATAAACCTATGGGGCCACTGTCAGAGAGACAAGCTATCTTTGACCAGTATGTCATTGTGCAATACATGAGTAAGCAATCTGACTGTGGTTTATGACTTTCATTTTACAAAGAGTTTACATTAAACTAAAAAAAGTATGGATTTATTAACCTAGGAAAATCTCAAATCACCCTACTTATCAGAAATATTCACAGGGAAGGACTATACTGGTTAAAAATTGTTGAAAACAAACAGAAAAGTCTCACAAATTCTCAAGTTAAATGAAATGTAATTGCATGCTTTTTCAAAATTCATGAGACTAAATAAGTATAAGAAGGTAAAATTTGTTTCCAGGGTTCACATGGTACTTGGGTGTGTCACAGAAGGAGCAGAAGTATTCACAACTTGCTCTAGTAGGCAGAACAAAGAATAATCAGGCAAAGTTACAAGAAATGTGATTATATGGTGATTATCATGAAATAATTTTGTAATAACCAGAACTTTCCCTTAGACTTTAACATAAGTTAATAAGCTCCTTTTTATTAGATGTAGTCTAGCTGAGATTCAATGACCACATATTAGAGACATCACAAAGATTAACAGAACTGGGTAATAACAAATTGCAAATACAAACCCTCCCATTTACCCAACTATTTACTGTGCAGGTAAGCCCCTTCTCTGAATACTGACAAGTCTTTGTTTTGATATAGACTCAAAGGTGGAAGACTGCTCTGCAAATTAGACAGACATGATGAAGGAGCTCCAGAAAGTTACATCATATCTATAATTCTATAATCCAAACTAAGACTTTGTGGACAAGTCTGTGCCAGTGATTCACCTTCATCTTTTAAATTCTGAAAGACTCTGATTAATTATGACCTACGATCTTGAAATTTTTTAATAACACAATGCTTCCAAAGTACCTCCTCACAGAATTTTCAGAGCTCTAAAATGCTACGGCTTGGCTTAAGTAAGCCACATTCATTACTGATATGTGGTAAAGATAAATGAAAGAGAGAGAGATCAATAGCTAAGTTATGTTTTCACATTCAAGTTAACTTATCTTGTCCTTATCTGACCTATCCAGGCAGTGCTTCCCTGATACTTCTGAGGCTCATTTTACTACTATAGACAGTACTTAACCCATTGCTATAGTCACATATATAACAGGTCTGTTTCCATCCCAAGATGATGAACCCACACATGGTAAGAACTATATTTTACTCATATCTATAACTCCAGACCTTCACAAAACACTTGGTATACAAACAGATGCCCAAAAGCCTAAATGGCCATTCCATTACTGGTAGAAAATCAGTGTTGATATTACCATGAAATAATTTAAAGAAAAAGTTAAAAGAATTAGCAATATTTAACTGACATTTGCAAAACACAGCTGAAAGAAAGAAAACATGTAGTGCTTATTAATAAATATAAAAATCTCAATTCACTAAAAAACTTTATACTTATTTTCTTATTTTAATGTTATTTCCTATGACATTTCTAAATCATAAACTAAATGTTTTCAATAACTGCATTATTAAAAAGTATTTTTGTTTAAAAGTTAAGATGGTTTGCTGCTTTTACCAGCTATTGAATAAATATATTAACCTTTAAGGGCATCACTTAAATAAATACCTTTTCCACAATAAATATATTTTGCTAAGGACAGGTAATCAAGAAGAAATTAAGAAAGGGAAATGCTTTATGGAAAACAAAAGCATCAATCACAATACGCAAATTTATAGTGTATGTTAAAATAAATGAAACACATATTCACTCTGGAGATACTTACTATAAACATGTACTTATTATTTTGGGTTCCAAGAAAAGTCATCTTCCTAAGATTAATGAATAGATGTACACTGTTATAACACTATCCTTTTATTTGCTTTCAACTTGCAAATGACTGTTTTGGTGGAAACTGTCCTAAATCCCTCCCTCACATGTAACTTTAAGTTCAGGTTTCCAAATTCAATTACTATTATATGCCTGAAAGAAACAATTTTGATAATATGACAAAATTTTTAAATAGAAAATACTTTTAAAATATAAAATAACTATCATCTATACTTGGTTAAGCGCTTAAGATTATCATTACCATATCCAGTAAATGCATGTCACTGTTCTTCACGTTTCGACCTGGGCTTAATAACATTCCAAAACATCTGAAAATATTGGGGGAAAAAAAAAAGGAGAAATAAGGTATCAAGAATATATAGAAGCCCAGTGAGCAAAAAGCCTTTTTAAATAACTACATAATCTGAGCTGTGTACTTACAAAGAGCTTTAGTTTCTTTTTCTAGGAACACCAGAAATAAGAATTCATGGAGATACATAATAAAATCACATGGAAATAAGTTACCTAAATTCCCAGATCTTTATATTGCATGTAAAAGATTACCAATAGTCAGAAAATGCTCTTCCCCGCCCCCACAAAAAAAGGCCACAAATTGTTGACTAAAATTAAATAGGCAGTGAGATATAAACTAGTTTCTAGGGAGATAAGCGCTTTTATTTGCCTTAGAGTTATTCCAAACACATTGGTCAAGATCAGTTAACCCAGCTAAGTCAAAGAGGTTTCTAAAAGTAAGACATTGAGCTCCCACTCTGCATCAGACCAGATTAACAGAAAGCAACTATTACTCTGGACCTCAACAGTCATGGTCACTGAGTGCAACATGTTAATACTACAGTATATTCTCAGTTTAAAAAAAGAAGTTATATAAACTTTATTACTAAATGTGCTATTTTAGTGAAGATATTATCCAATATACTATTTTTGGTTTTTGTGGGGTTTGTTTGTTTGTTTGAGACTGAGTCTCACTATGATGCCTTCCGTATAGTGCTGTGGCGTCACAGCTCACAGCAAACTCAAACTCTTGGGCTTAAGTGATTCTCTTGCCTCAGCCTCCCAAGTAGCTGGGACTACAGGTACCCACCACAATGCCCAGCTATTTTTTTGTTGCAATTGTCATTGTTGTTTAGCTGACCCAGGCTGGGTTCGAACCCACTAGCCTGGGTATATGTAGCTGATACCCTACCCACTGAGCTATGGGCGCCACCTATCCAATATACTATTAATATGTTATTATTTGCATTGCTCTGTGCTTCACAATACTAGAGAAGCTTTAGAAATCTTACTACCACTTTATTTGAAAAGGATTTCCATAGGCTCTTAAAATTCAGCTAAATCTAAGATTTTGAAATTTGTTAGCTATTATTAACTCCACTTTACAAGTAAGCAAAATGAAGCCCAGAGAAGCAATTTACCCAAATTCATATTGCTCTTAATTAGGTCTTATAACTCAAGAGGCAATATAATCTATCCACAGTGTTCCTCTGCCAACAACACATACCCATACTTAGCTTCCCAAAATTTAAAGATACACTATGGGGCACTTTACAGAAGAGGTTTAGAATATTACTGAATTAAACATAAGAGTTCAAAAATTTCAAACAGTGGCAGCTGACCTGCAACACTTAATCTGATCCTTATTGTTTTCCAAAGGTTTACTTTCGTAGTAGTGTGTCTTTTTCTCACATAAATAAAACAAGTGATTGGTTCTGTCCAAATATAAGCTTAGTAAGTACACAGAAATAACTATACTCTAACGTTCATAATTTCAATAAGATTACTATACACAGTGTCTCTTTCCTATGAACTCCTAAAATAAATACTGTCTCTACAAATCAAACGATAATCATGCAGTTCACTGTACTATTTCTTTCACTATTGTCTTAAACTCTTGCTAAGCAAGAATTTTAAAAAATCTAATTCTTTTTCAGATGCAAAATTTGGTTTCTCTAACTAAAAACTCAGGTCAGGCTCAGCACCCGTAGCACAGTAGTTACAGCGCCAGCTAATTTGGAGGCTGAGGCAAAAGAATCACTTAAGTACAAGAGTTTGAGGTTGCTATGAGCTGTGATACCACAGCACTCTACTGAGGGCGACACAGTAAAACTCTGTCTCAAAAAATAAAAAAAATAATAAAAACCCAGGTCAATGAAGACAGATTTGTCTCACATGTCCCCATATACTTTGCTTCAGCTTGTTATCTCCCATGGGTTTTTTTAGAACAATTTTCTATGTTACGGGGTTTTTTTTAATTATAAACTATTATTACATGCTCATTATAATAAATTAATAAATACTGAAGTATGTGAGAAAACAAAATTTCTCCCTTCTCTCTCAGCTCCCTTAGGAACCAATGGTAACAGTCTGAAATATTGTTCTACCCTTCCTTTTGGTCTTTTTGAAAATTTAAAGTTTTGTGCCATTTTGTTTCTCAAGCACTTCCAGACAAATGACAAAATGAATAAAATTTTATATTTCCTTACCATAATATTCATATATTAAGTTCTACTCAAAAAGGAGCCTCAGAGGTTTAGATTTTCTTTTAAATGGTAATACTTATCACCTTATTTTTTATCTTTGGTGTACTGCTCTTTTCCTGACTTATATGTGTCTTTAGAAGACTCACTTAACCCCCTTGGGCCTCTTCTTCCTCACCTAGCAAATAGGAGAGGTATAATACACAAACTTTAAGAGTTCTTCCAGCACTAAAATTACATAATTATTTTCTATCAAAATGTATTAGTCATTTCCAAAATTATACTTCATTAAAGCACATAAGGATTCCTACAGAGACCAGCAAGATATATTAGGAATAATGTGTCAGGAATTAGATCAATATTATTAGTAACACAAACACCTAATGGAATATTAAGTGTTTCATTAGATAGTTCAAAGTAGTCGAGCTTCTCTGATTAACTCTATAAATAAAAGAGAAAGCAAATTGCTATCCCACCTATTTTTTTCAATGAGTTTACGGTCTAGTAGGGGAGGAAAATAAGTAGACAGGAAGTCTGACACAATACAGTCAGTTCTGTGATACCTATTAAATACAGAATGTTAACAAACCAGAGAGGAAACACACACAACATTATTTGTAATATAGTAAATAACTGACCTGATCAAAAATTTGAAATAAAACCTCTTGAGAATGATATGTGATATTATCATTAACAACTATTATTAAAATAGAAGCCACTATTTATTAACTATCTCAACTTTAAGGCAGACACTTCTATATTACTGCAATTATGTTTGAAAACAGCCCTCAGATAACAAATGATAAAACTGATTTCAGAAAGTAGAAGTGGTCTGCTCAAAGCAACATAGCTATTGAATTATAAGACTAGAATTTAAGCCCAAGTTTATTACTACAAAACTGTATGTATGGTCTTTTACATTATAGCCTGCCACCCCTCCTAAGCTAGCAACAGAAAAGACTATAAATTCCCTGCATAACCCTGGGCAAGTCACAAACACCAAAGTCTCATCGTCCACATTTTTAAAATACAAATACCTGCTTATATGTTAATTATGTTAACATAAAGTTGAAATTTAAAAAACTCATGGTAAAAGTGCACTAAAAGTAGTTACCAATTATAAATTACTTTTACACCTTCCATTCTCATTAAGAAGAGAAAGCTCTGACTTCCATAGTACTTAATAAGGTTTTTACTCAAAATAGAGATTTAAGCAGCTTTTAATACCACGTTAGATTTCTAACACCAAAAACTCATCATGTCTAGTGTTGCTTTAGACTTAACTGCAGGAAAAAAATAAGAAAAATAGATGTTACCTTAATCTCCTATAACAAGAATCTTTAACTTTTCTTTTTTATTTTTGCCTAATTGAGTCCTTTGAAGCATTAGGAATTCTATACACTTCCATGAAGACTACAGATAAAAATGGAAGAGAGGAAGGATCTGACCAATCCTCAATTAAAGAACACTTCTTCTTGCTGTACTAAATTTTTGTTATTAAAAATAAGAAAGTGATAACATAATAGAAAGGGGTAAACAGAACTGCAAAAAAGAAAATCTAAAATTCAATCACAGTTTTTTGGAGCAATATGTAAAACACTAAAACTAATTTTATAAAAACCTAGAATCCCAATCAGTACTACCCTAAAGAGACTAAAACAAAAAGATAGTTTGGGAAAATCTCCTAATATGAGAATCACTGAGATTGTTTTCCCTTACTAAAGGAATCAAGCAGAGAAAGATACACAGCCATTCCTTACTACATGCAGTAGTATCTAATCAGAAAAATAACCTTACAACCTGAAACTATACAAAGTGATTATGTAATAGGAATAAGTATAATTGTTCTGTGGCTTTTAATTTTTTTTCATTAAAGCATTAATAATTCCCTTATTGTCAGTTATAAATGCATAGGAAATAGAAAAAAGTAAAACTATTATATACTTAGTACTTTATCATTTAAGGCACTTAGAAACATTAGAAATTAAAGTATTTTCTTTATTTGAAAAAAATAATAAAAATAGTTTCAACAGTGCCTTCTCATATAACTTACAATATGAAGTATCCTTTTTTATGTCTTGGTAAACTGTCCTATTCCTTTTTAAGTTTGGATCAGTTTCCAATATTTTATCCTTTGCATTTTCAATGTTATGAAATATTTCCAAGAGTTCTTTTAATGTCAACTTTTTGCCAGAGTCATTTCCTCTAGGATATTCATCCTTTTTATTGCAACCATTTATTTATGCACATGAGTTTGTCTTCACTAAGCTCCTCTAGCTACAAATCTGTAGTCCACCAAATAGTGGCCATGTCAACACTCCCACAGTCTGCTACTTCTGCTACTTCTTCAACATCTCCATGTATGGTCTATTCAAATTCAACTGAAAAGTTGCTTCTATAATGAAGTTAAAAGTTTTGATACACTACACGCATACTAGTCATTGTTGTTCCCTGCCATGATGCTTGAATGTTTTCAATGACACGCTTTATGCCATATTTTTTCTGAAATTAAGCTAAAAAAAATTGTATGATGGCCAGGCTCCTTGTAATTACTATTTCCTTCAACACGTCAACTAGCTTTAATACTTTGGATTGAGTGCTAGCCCAATATTGATTGGATTTTTTTCTTATTGTAACCTTTAATCCAAATTAGAAGTAAATGCTCCACTTCAACATAAGTGGCCTTCTGTTCCTAGTGTAACTCAAACTAAAAGAAGTTAAAGTGACTTTAACATGTTCTTTTTTTAATTCATCAGACTTTCTCAATATGGTTCATATCACAGCTTCACTCAAGCTATCTTCATCCTATCTTCATATTGCTGTCATTATTTTCA